GGATTTGTTTTCCTGCTGTCATGCTTCTGTGCTTCACCTTCCTCTTAGGACACCTTTTAATTGATTAGTGCATTCAATATGGTGGCCACTCAGTGTTAAATTTGTAAGGGATCTAAAGTGAGATTAAAGGCACAAGTGAAAGAGTATTAGCACATTCTTGCACTCTTTTCAGAAAGAGAAGGAGACTTTCCTGTCAGACCACACCCCAGATGGTGGACGCATTGTGTCCCTCGTCCCAGACTCAGAGGAGTCCAGCACCGAGGAGCAGGTGCAGTCGGTGCATTCAGCTTTGCGGCAGTGCCTGGGGCTGCTCCATTGTGTCATCCTCAAAGAAGAGGAGGAATGGGGTGAGCTGGAGGGCGACTATGAGACCATGAGGAAGAACGTCCGATTCCGGCTGGAGCACTTGCTCCTAAGCACCAAAGACCTGGTGGAGACAGATGACACAATCCTAGAAATCACCCCTGACCACCAATGTACTGAGGTAAAGTGTGGGACTACAGGACATTGCTCTTTATTAAACACAAATAAAATGTTATCATGCATTTTCAGGTAGCGCGTAATACAAAACCCAAAGAAAAAAAACACCAGTTGCAGCATAAATCTATACACAAACCGCATTTACATGAAAACTTGGGATAAATCGTACACTGGAAAGCAAAAGAAGGGACAGAAAATGCTCAAAGGCCAAAGTTTACCTCGATAAAACAATAGACAAAACCTTATAAAAACACAAAGAACCCACACAGATGCAAGATGACTGAAGAAAATAAATTAATAAATAACAAAATTTAAAAACTTCCAAAAAGATTCACAAAGCAAGTACAAGGAGATGCAAAATGGCTACAAAGAAGCAAGCACTGGACACAAAATGACCACAAAGATACTAAATGACTAAAAGGAGACACAAAACTATGTTTCAGCCTGTGGGTCTTGCTCCTACAGTGTGTAAGGGTGGGGGGCTGTGACATGTCTGTGCCCAGGGTTTCAGGGTCTCATAATCTGCGCATGACTTGAGCCCATCCACTTACCGCCTTGCCTGTTTCTTCTGTACCAATAATGAGAGGCACTGGATCTAACTTGGTCTCTTCTCTGTAGGAGGTTGATGATGCTGGGGGAGCATTTGGCCTCAAATTGTGGACCTATCGAGTGCTGCTGGAGCTGATCCACTGGGCTGACCATGCTGTGCAGACCCTGCACGCCTTGCACACAGACAGGGAAGGAGCAGAAGAGATCTAAATTTCTTTGTTATAACATCTATGAATGAACTTAACACTAACAGTTGACTTTCCTTTTTACTAATTCCAACTTACCAAGTAATGTGTAATGTTCTCTGTGAACAACATGGGGTGAAAAATGCTCACAGCTAAGCTCCTTTAACAAAGTCCAGTTGACAGCTCTTTCCAGATGTTGGTGTTTCCACAGTGCTATCATGAGCTCTAGTTTGCCACAGCTGCTGTTTCTTTTGACAAAGAAGTGAGAAGTGCAAACTCTTAACTGTATCAAGATCGGTCCATGTTGCGCGGTGGCCGTTAAAATGCTTGAAAATGTCTTTTTGTATAGGGTTTAATTTATTCTATTTAAGTGGATTTACCTTTGATTACTACACTCCAAAATGTACTAACTGCTAGAATGTAGCCAAATGCTCATGACTGGTAAACTGTGACTGATGTGCAGCTGAATCTGTTGTTATTTTAACAGGTCATTTAGCTCTTAGTGTTGCACATTATTAACTTATCTAACCTAAATAATTCCATACCAAATGTCGTTTTTTTTGTGTGTAGACTGAATGCTTGGTTCCGTCTGTGATGATAAAGTGTCATGCTTGCTGCTCTGATTACCAAGTTCTCTCCTGACGTTATACTTAAATGTGATGCTTCACAAGTTTGAACTATTAGACCAACGCGTCTCGAACTATATCCATCACGCCCTCCTCTGGGCGTCCAAAGAATGTGTGAGAAGCGCTGTAATAGATCATTTTACACTAGGATTGTACTGTGTTTAGCCAAAAGTATCAAACACCTGCGTAGACTCACTGAGTGAATGAACTGTGACTCCCTTGGTTTGGTGATTTCTAAATGCCATGCTTTTATGTGATGAATAACTGGATGTGCATTGAAGATTAAAACCCAGTCTTATTAAACCCTTGTGCTTTGTTTACATTGTCTTTACTTTCTTATTTTTACATCCCTTTGCTGTGCAGAAGCAACACTTATGATTTATCTTATGTCCCCAACCTAATAATTTTCATGGAACGCACTTTATAATTTGATCCTTATAGGACAAAAGAGACTGTGTTAAAGTGGTACACTTCCAATTAAGTAGTTCTGTACAATTGCAGGTCAGCATAACATGAAAATGTATATGAAGTTTCCTGTAATAAATGACTAATACATTATTTGGGTTTTAAATTTAGCATTTCCATTAAGGACATTTGAGCCAAATTGTTTAATTCTTTCCAGTAAAGCTTGTTCAGCATTATTGGGACATTACAGGCAATGTATGCACTAAGTATTGAAGCGGTGGCCCTTTGGCACTAACATGGCTTCCACCTGTTATTAAGGTGACAAAGAAATCACTTGCGTCATTATTACACCAAATAAACTTTCATGTCTTAGTTATGCACATTCCTTTCGTTTGCTGAAATGTCATTCCCAGAATACCAAATGTATGTTATCTTACATAATGTTCCTCGTAGGAGCCCATTAGTTTATCGGTTACCAACCATTTTTGGCAGAACATGTGCTTTTATTTTTGATATAAGTTAATGTTTCTAAAACATCTCACTGCTTATTTCACCACTGGTTTAACAGATGGGGAAAGAAAAAGATGTGGACTGAAACATATTTATAATTAATTCAACATATGTTTACATTCATGTTTTTGGGCTTTTTACTAATCTTTGATTTTGTTGTAAAATTTTGAATCATTACAGTTATTTAAATATCTGATAAGTTCAGTCACACTTTACTGGAACTGCAAACAACTTCTGACACCAGTGGGCCCCGGTGTGTAACTTGTCACATTTAATGGTGAATGACACTATATTTAATCAGAATATCATATGTGTTTTTAAAAATGTAAAATCTTACACAATCTAAATGTTAAATCTGAAAAAGTAGTAACCTAGAGGCTAAACCTGTCAAATAGTAAATATAAAATGTAGAGTGTAGTATTAAGTAACAGAAACATTCCAGTACAAGTACTTCAAACTTAATGTAGCCCTAGGCCTACTTATTTACTTTCAGTGGTGGAAAGTAAGGACTTCATTGATCCATGGTCAGAAATTCTAGATCGACCCAGCAGTATTTCAAATGACAAGTTTGTTAAAATTAGTGCATAATGACTACTTTTGCTTTTAGTAGCCTACTTTACGCATTTTGATGCTAATACGTTCCTACTTTTACTTAAGTAGCATTTTGAATGTAACAGAGTATTTTTACAGAGTACACTGTGGTACTGCTACTTTTACCTGAGAAGCCTACTTCTTCCACCGCTGCTTACTTTCCACCCCAGCCCTATTTAGAAGCAAAGCTTTGATTTAACAGCACTTCCAGGAAACATCAGTATTTACTGAATAGCTACAATATTGTGTTTTCACTCAGTACATCCATTAAATGTGAACCTCAAGGTTGTAGTAGCTCTTGATGTTCCTCGGTTGTGGGTGCACCCCATTTTACCATGAGAACCCCAAAGGATGTTGTGCACATGCGCGTTGGTTAATCTACCGGAGCGCGAGAGGTAGCGAAGGGAGTACTAATGGCGGAGAATGTACGGTCGCCTTTTGACTACCGGGAGCCACCGACCCTCGACAGCGACGGGGATGGGAGCAAACCGCCACCGCCACGGGGGTGAGTGAGCGCGGCGAGCCTCTGTTTTGTCGCCGCACGGGGTTCTTCTTTTCACCGTGGATTTGTGTGCAAAATGCGAGAAGCTGTGACGCACGCGCCGCTGCGAGCGTGCACGTCCGTTCAGTTAACGTTGGGAGCCTTTATTCGCGTGCATGATTTCAGCGCTACGTTGCAGAAGACGGAGCAGGGAAAGTCGTTTTTGCGTGGATTTTGGCCGCAGCCGTAGCGTCCTGTGAGGCTGCGTCCACCGCTTCCGGCCTCAGCTCGCTTTGAGTCCCCAGGCTTTTATTTTTGATGTTTTGACGAGACAGAAGTCTGACGTTAGCTACTGGAAGCTAGCGCTAACAGGCTAGCCTGTGGTTTAGCACTAATGTTAGCATTCCCCCCAGGAGGGATCATCAGGGTAACGTAGCTGATCAGTGATCCGCTGTCATGGCAGTAAGCCCATCCATATGTCAGATTTCTCAGACTGCAGATCCCCGAGCATAGCATTCAGTACATTATGCTCTCACAGCTTGGTTACTTAGCTGGTGCAGATCATGACTTGGTTGGCTTTGAGTAAACAAAGTTGCTGACCACGACCAAAATGCATCCAACAGTTGACTGTCACCGGGCTCAGTGATTAAGGACGCATTGTTGTCATAATGTTCCCCTGTCAAATGCACGTACACTGTCACGGGTCAGTGAATAAGGGGGGTGAGGAGGCCATTTTAAATATTGTTTATTAAAAATAATAGCGGAGATAGCTGAAAACCCTTGCTGTTTCATTACATAACTGGCAAATCAGTGACAAATTCAGAACAGGTTTGTACTGATGAATTTTGCTGCAAGGCCAAGGATGGTGATCAGGCCACAATCATTGTAAACCCAGTAAAATACACCTTAATTGGACTAGAGCTGAAACAGCTAGTTGCTGAATCACTTAGCCAACATACAAAAACTACTATTTCTATAAATTGCTTAAGCCAGGATGACAAACATTCCCTGGTTACAGTTTTGAACTTGTGAGGATTTGCTGCCTTTCTTTGTCTTATGTCATAGTAAACAGAACTAGGGCTACTACTGATTATTGTCATGATTTATTAATCTGTTAATTATTTTTCAGTTAATCATTTAGTCTATGAAAATATGCCAGAAAAGCCCATCATAACTTTGTAGAGTGGGGTGTGTTATATACAGATGTCTTCATAATTGACTATCAAAATAACAATTATTTGTAAAATGATTAAACAATTCATTGTTTCAATGTCTTTGGGTTATTGAGTGTCAGCTGGACAAAATAAAAATATTTAAGATGTCACTTTGAACTTTAGGAACATATGGGGCATAATTCTCTAGTTTTTGACATTTTATAGACCAACCAATTAGGTGATCTGCAGATTAATTGATATTGAAAGTTATTGTAAACTTTCCCCCTCACTTAACTCTTCTCTCTTTGGTTGTTTCCAGATGGCTTTGTTTTGATTGCTTGTCTAGTCAGAGACATTTATCTTTTTCTTAAGCAGAAGAGGAACAAACACACTGTTACCACCATCAATAGATAAGTAATTCAAAGCCTTGTTGTTGTGGATGAGTCACTCACCTGGTATAAACATTAGCAGGCTGAAGAATTGCACAGCCACAGGTATCACCTGCTCCGCTCATTATGGCTGCACTCCATCCGAATATTTCCAGGAGAAATGTATTAAGCACCACTTTTGTCTGAGTGTATGCTAAATCAAACCCGCATTTTGTTTTCACAGCCGCATGTGTGGGAGAAAAAGGAAGGGGACACCTGTGAAGGTGTGTGACCGCGCGTATGTAACAGAAGATGAGGAGGAGGAGAGCATGTCAGAACACAGCTACAGCCCTGGTATATATAGAAACACATACACACACACATTGTGCCACTTGCTGTTTTTATCCACTCTGGTGCTTATGGAAAACAAGGGGATCATGTTATAATTAGCAGCATATTGTACTAAGGGAGAGACATCTTCCATCTTTGAAGCATAAGCCCTGTGGTTGGTGATGAAGCTCTTAAGGTGTGTTAAACAGTCCACTCTGTCCCAGGGGATGGCCAGTATCCAGAGGGAGCAGAAGACCGTCTCCCTCCACCTGGCAGTCCCTACTACCTGCCAGACCCCTCTCAGCTCTGGTAAGGAGGACCCTCACCATGGTAACTGTGCTCTGATATTATTTTAAGTAAGGAACTCTTTATTGCTAATGTCAGTTTATGCTTCCCAGTGTGCCAGAACTGGGCGAGGAGGGAGCGAGCGGTGTTCGGGGGCCTGTGCTCTTCCATCCGCTGCCCAACTGCCGGATTCGAGAAGTCCACTGCGGGACCCAGGTGCGGTTGGTCGTCATTGCAATACGAGACATCGCCAAAGGGGAGGAGATCACAGTGGACTACAGCCTAACAGACTGGGGCGAGAACGCAATGGTGAGCGACTAACTTAAACAGAATGAATGGGGAATGAAAGGTCAAAGTGTTTATTTGTCATATGCACAGTTAGGAAACGTGTTTCCCTGTACAATGAAATTTTACTTTGCCCTCCACATGAATGCCACAAAATACAAGTGAAATATAAAGTAGATGAGCAAGAACACAAATCTAAATGGGCAGTAAAATCACAAATCTAAGGCACTTTAAAGCAGCTAGTGAGGGAGCAAATAAAAATACAACAAGAACACAATATAATGCAGAGAGAAGACCCCGCAATCACTTTCTGCTGCTGTACATTCTCACACACACACCATGACACTCACAAGTGAAAACAGTCCTAACAAATGTACTGCCTTCTCCCAAAATGATGCATTTGTGGCCAGTTATGGCTCCTGTCTTCAGGAAAGAGGACTCGATTTAGGACAGATGGCTACAAAGGGGGAAGAGAAGTCAGAAAGTACCATAACGATAACATAGAATTTCAAATCGTAAACATTTTCTTTTAATGTCAAATGCAATAAGAATGTAAATCCTGTTAATATACCTAACATGCTGAGCTGATGGGGTTTGTTTTCATTTGAAATCTCTCTCACCAGGAGGACGAGGCTGGCCCCCACCCCCTGTCCGTCTCTGTTTCTGATTACCTTACCCCCTCCTGGTCACTGTCGCCCTCATCCTCCCCACTCACTCACTCTGAACCCAGTGACTCGGACCGTGAGGAGGATGAAGAGGAAGAAGACGATGATGACGATGACGATGAAGAAGAAGAGGAAATTGAGGAGATTAGAGGTCGAATGCTTCGCCGCCGTAAGAAGCGCAAGATTGCAGCTGCTGTCAGTTCAAAGAAGAAGAGTGCACCCACCTCACCTAGAGGACCTGGGCGCCCCTGCTCCTCCTTTTCCCGCCCAGCACCTGTTCCACCCCCAGTCAGATCCCAGTCCCAACCTCCAGTGAGCGCCCTGGCACCTCCAACCACCAACATCAACAACAACATTAACATAAACATTGGCAGCTCTAGCGGTGCCACAGTAAGCCGGCGGCAGCACTGCCCATACTGCGGCCGCCATTATCGCTCCCTGGCACGGCACCTGGAGAAGCACCATGCCAACCAGCCTGAGGTCAGAACAGCCATGGAGCTGGCACACCTCCACACGCACAGCTCTTCAAATGGCAGCACCTCACACCCTCAACCCTCATCGTCCTCCACCTCTGCTACTCACAGTCATTGCTTTGCCGTCCCCCAGCCCTCTGCCTCTAATCCTGCACCCCCATCTCTGTTCTCTAGAAAGAAGGAATCTCCAGGAACCCGCTCAAGCACGGGTGGCGTCTCTTTCTCCCTTTCCCTTTCACCGCCTTCTTCAGCTCAGCCTGCTCAGCCTACAGCCACTAAGAGGGCGCCAAGCTTACCACTGCCTGCCACAAAACATCCCGCACCCCTAATGGTGTCTCGAGTAAAAAGTCCTTCACCGCCTCCTCCGTCTCCTCCTAGAAGAGGTCGGAGGATGAAGAGGGAGAAGCATGAAGAGCAGCAGAAGGTGGAGGTAGAGAGCTCAAGAAGTCAAGAGGAGCTGGTGCCACCCCCGACCCCAGAGCCAGACGTAGATCCAGATGAAGATCTGGAGTTGAGTGGGGAAGGGGAAGATGATGCACCAGAGGAGAAGAATGGAGAGACTGTAAGGTGTGGTTGTCTCTGAATCACCTGTTTATTTTTTTTATCACTGATATATCATATTTACATGCCTTGTGATTTCTACTGCAAATATAAAAACATTTCTTCTCTCTCTTGTTCTGCAGCACACACAGACATCACATGTCTCCACTGCTCTCTTCCCTCTCCTGTCTGGTCCTCTACCTCCGCTGCCAGCAGCACTCCTCTTTCCTTTCTTTAACTCGGTCTCCTCACTCTGCCGAGGCCTGGCGCCTGCTCTGCCATTCTAGCCTCTCTCTGCTCATCCTCTACAACCGCCACCGAGAATGTGAGGTAGCCAAGCTCACTGTCCAGGACTACCGCAACCGTATTACCCCTCAGACCAGCTCCAGCACCAGCTCCCCCTCTGGCATGGAAGCCCTCCTGTCCCCCTTTGAGCGCCAGGTCCTCTGTCACCTCCCACGGGCTGGTGTTTTAGGCAAACGTGGTCGTGTCCAGCCGCTTATTCTCCCACCACACTGTGAGTCCTGCCTGGACCTGCTTCTGCAAACCAGCCCCAATGTGGGTGTGGACCCAGAGAGCCCCTACGTCTTCTCCCGGCCCTACCACTCTCCTGCCACCCCTCTCCGAGGCACAGACCTTCTGAGGAACCTGGCACGAGCTAGTGGGGCCAAGAACCCTGGTGCACTGACAGCAACACGAGTGCGGCGACAGGTAGCCATCCTTTCCCAGCTGCTACTATTAGAGGAGGGTGAGGGCCAGGGTGGAGCTACAAAACGCCTGGAGGACTTCCTGGAGCGAGAGTACCACGTGACACAGAACTGCTCCACAATTATACGTGACCCAGCACTGATGGGCCGTGTGGGTCGCGTTGTTCTTTATGGAGAGAGGGAAGGCGTGCTTTTCAGAGGGATGAGCCTGCAGCACATCTGCCTCGAGCTGGACGGTAAGGAATTACATTATATGGGTATTTCAAGCATACAGCTTTCAGTTCAGTGCAGCTTTTTTGTAAGTTTGAAGTTGCAGCATCTGTTTTGAGTAATGCAGTTGTCACCATGCTGTTAGGAAAAAGCCAAACTATTATTGTGTATTGGACTCTGGCACTTAAATGATTTTTAAGGGGCCACCCATAAAAATATAAGGGCTGTGAATAGAATTTGGTTCTAATTTAAAATCAAATTGGAAAAAGCTTTTCTTAAAATAGAAAATAATAAAATGTCCACAGTAAGGTTTGTGGAACCAGGGTGTTTTTTTTTCTGTAAAGAGACACTTGTTAAGTCTGTCAAGTGTAATTTATCTCATGCCAGCTAGCATCTGGTTGGCTTAGCTTAGCATAAAGGCTGGATCATAACATTACGATTTGACTCCACAGCACAAGTCTGTAACAGTAGCCCCTTCTGCACTGCCTGTTCAAGGCGGGATTACACCAATTTTCTGCCACGCTGTATGAAGGTCATTGTTGACCTTTCTTTATTCTGTTACAACAGGTAGCAAAGTTGGCACAACTGTCCCGCCTCTGCCTCTGTGCAAAAGGCATGTGGCAGTTTGGGGAATTATGAGCGGAGATGTGAAATCTGCCACCTGGGATTTAAATTTTATCGTTGCTCACAAGAAACGGGAATCATGCTCATTATCATTAACATGTTGTGAGTGTAGCACAACAACTTTGAGACCAAGTT